GAAGAGTTCCTATGTCGACTGTCACGGGCGAGGCCAGGAAGTCGACAGAGCAGCAAAGGCACGCCGAAGGAGTGCCAAGTTGACCGTCAGTGGAAAGGAAGTCGGCACCGGCGACCGACGCCGCAAGGTCTATTTTTTAGCCCGTGGCCCTGCCTCGACTAAATTCAGTAAGCGCCTACTGTACTTAATTATGTAAGTAAGGCACAAACTTGTAAGCTACTAGCAATAGGAAGCTTCTAGTAACTGGACGCAGGAGGCGGCCGGGGAGGAGCTTGCTTGAAGCTCCCACTAATTATTTGGTTCCTAGATTTTCATCAGGTCCAATTAGGTGCCACCTCATGAATTCGTAACTCCTTTGTTATATCTCGAAGCTTTGCTTTGTCCGTTCGGTTTCAGGTGTACATGCGGTGTCGTGTTGCTTCTTGTCTGTGATTTCTTTTGTAGTGCAAGGTGGTAATTTACCAGTGCTCCCCAACACTCACTGAAAGTGAAGTGGGGAACGCTGCACCAGGATGACGGGAGCAAGCGCCGAAAGGACAAGGACAGAATCGCAGATGATGAATTGACTGAAGGATCGATATGTCCTCTACATGGACCATCCTTGTCATCCTTGTGCTTTGTGAATTTGTGAATGTATATATTGTAAATACAAATACTATATTCACAGTTGAGGTTAAGTTGAGATTGCCCGTGGGGTCAGATTCTTGCTTAAAGGCTTTGATGTTTGACAGAGCAATCATCAATTGTGGTTCAACAAGCACACCACCTGCAGACTTGCAGACGCCAGATCTTGAGATCACACAGGACCGTTCTTCCCGGAGGCCCAGTCGGATCTCAAAAACTCAAAGCTGCTCACTTGTGTGACCCATTTGAAAGCTGTTCCTGTTCGTTTATTTTCCTGATATGGGAGGCTCTCTACTGCATCCAGTGAGAAGCCCAGACGATGTTGGTCGATAGCTTTTAGGCGAACAGTCCAGTTGCTGGTCGCATCAAGTAAAACCCCACTACATTCCTTCAGCCAGCATGCGCCTTTGGCGCCTTTCAGGGAAAGAAAAGGACACCTCACTGGGAGTCTACTGGGGAGCCGAGGTGGTGGCGGTGGCTGGCCAGATGGGCAGGTCGAAGTCGCTGAAGCAGCAGTCGAATGTGTGACGAAGTCGATGTTTCAACGACGGTGTTCCGCGCTTCTGCTGTTTCCAGGCTGCTTCGTTTGCAGATGGGTGGCAGGGTGCTCAGCTTTGCCTTGTTGGCACCTTTGGACGAGGTGTTATGTCGGACATGCCGGAAGTCAAGACTTCTTTGATGACTCGATCAACCTTTGAAGTCATGAAGCAACTTCCAGGTCCAAGCAGAGAACACGGAGCAGTTCTGGAGAGTTGCAAGGACCTTATGAACCTTCTGGACCTGGCAAGGTGATTATGGCTCAAGAATAGAGTGCACCCCAAACTGCGGGTCCCAGGGTCTCTTTTGTTTTTGGGGGGGGATTTGTCTCAAAGGCGGGAGACGAGAATTGGCCGAACCTTGTGAACACACGAAACCGAACCTTTTGACACTTGGTATCACTTGTTTTGTTTGTTTTTTTTTGCCTCGAAATTAGTCGCAGCCTTTTCGAGGCCGGTGAATCAATGGGGCGCCGGAGCCGCTGAGATGTTGGGCTCTCGGGCAAAAGTGGTTGGATTTGTTTCGCCAAGTGGTGGGATGTTCAGGCAAGCTGAACTATATAGATACATTATACATCTATCTATGTTGTTCGTTGAGGGGACATATGGTGGGAGCTTCTTGTATCACTCGCTTCCTGCTGTTGCCGTTGCCTTTGTCTTCTGCACATCGGAAGCTAGTCACTCGTCGGATTCATGACTCTTGCCTTCCAAGGGAGGGGAGAGTCCACCAAGGAGTCCTGCCTTCCAAAAATCCGGCTCTTGGGACAGGCAGTCATGGAGCGCCCTCAGCCATCAGTGACGGTATATCTAGATAGCAGGGCCATTTCATGACCGGATGAGAAGAGCAAGATTGCTTTGACGTGACGCTTCAATGTGAATTGGCTGTCTTGCGCATGTGCAGGGGCCCTGCCTTGCAAAGAAGTGGCTCCGGGGACATGCGACAGCCAGCATCCCAGCCACATCCAATTGATTATTCAAGCTGCTCGCGCTCTTGTTCCAAGTTTGCGACCAGGACCCCGACTATGCAAAGAAGTGGCTCTGGGGAAATGAGGCAGCCAGGTTCTTAGCCGCATCAATTTCATGAACATTAATAATGTGATTTTGAGGGCAAATTAAATAGGCAAATACTGCATGGGTCCACTCTTGTTGCAAGTCTGTGACATCAGGACCCCTTCTTTGCAAAGAAGCGGCTCTGGGGACATGCATCAGCTGAAATCTCAGCTATTTTCTTTACATGCCTTGCACTTGTGCGGCTTTCAGAAGAGATGCAGTGGTTCCGTCATCCGTTCAGAATTTGTGGGCAGGACGCCCACGTTGCGAAGAAGTGGTTCTGGGGATGTGCGACAGCCAGAATCTTAGCCATAAATTCTTAAATTTTGGATGCGGCGCACGCGTCGTTTCTCATTTGCTGAGTATTTTTTAGGACCAGGGGGGTTGGCCGGTAGTAGAGGTGAGGTAGGTTAGCTAGAGGTAGGTAGCTAGTAGTAGCTAGGTAGCTAGTAGCTTACTCAATCTACTAGTATGGATGCAGGATAGCGCTATTCATTTGGTTCCTAGATTTTTAGGGAAACTCAAGTTTTTTGATCAGGACTGCCATGCAAAGAAGTGGCTCTGGAGACTCACGACAGCCCGATTCCTAATATAGCCACTTTTGCTTTAATAAGATCATTTGGAGAATCAGCTGCAATGTTCATTGATTTGTCATCAGGACGCCCACGATGCAAAGAAGTGGATCTGGAGACATGCGACAGCCAGCATCTCAGCTACATGCCAAGCCTCACAGCTTCAGCAAACGATTGTCACCAACTGTCTTCTTCTTTCAAGTTCATCAGGACCCCTACTATGCAGATAAGTGGGCCTGGAGATAGGCAGCGATTCCCAGCCTCATTGTCGCAGACAGGACTTCTTGAACGTATTTCCATTGTCATCAGGCATGCTGAAGGCATGAATGATGAGGCCCGAACGTTCGGATGGCCTTGTTTGTTGCTCAGCCTTACCTTGGCTGCCTAGCTATTTGCGGAGGCGTGGGCAATTGAAGAAGATCGACTAGAAAAGTGGGAGCCTTCAAGGGACTTGCTGGCCAGAACCACCTAAGAATCTGGATGAACAGGGTATATTAAAAAAATACATGTTACGTTACAATTATTTTATAGATGATCAATCTCACATTGTTCCTGACTCCCCAGTGGATGAATGCTCTCACTGGACACTGGGAGTTGTGGAATGGATCATGTCCATGAGCGGGTTTGTTTGGGCAAAGCTGCGATTGGGTCCAATTTAGAGCACCAAATTGGGGGTCCCCCTGAAAAGTAAACCAACGTGTTTGAGATTGAACAAGTTCGATATGGGATGAGCATGTATATATCGGCAGTGAATCAACAGTATTCAGTATGCTATGATATGCTATGCCTTTCTGGCTGTTTGCTTTTGCCTGATGACACTCTGTTTTGGATCGCGTTGGTCGGTTCGATAATCTCCTAGCAAGTGATAGGGCAGGGAAATGGCACAGGAGATATCCACAGCTTTCGGTCTATCTGGTCTATTTGGGCACCAAGCAAATAAAGATGAAGAAGTCTAAGTTCACCAGAGATCTATGGAGCAAGCACGGGTGCTACTTAGAGCTTCAGCTCTTTCGTTTGGTCCTCCTGTGGGAACCAGGTATCGCTCTGTCTTTGTCCGGGCGGACCTGGATGAGGATGGCTTCGTGGAGCCAATGGAGGCGTGGCGGACGTGGGATGTTCGATGAGACCGGAACTTCAGATCAAAGTGGGTCAATTGCACCTGGAACTTCTTCTGATAAAGTCAACTGGAAGAGAACTCAACAGTTTCTGCTTGTGCTATTGTCACTGCAGGCCAATTTGTCAAATCCACCTGGAAAACCACTGACGCCTCTGCGACATGACCAGCCGAAATCGTTGTTCTCCAGGCAAGGGATGTCCTGGCGAAGGCCAACTTGCCTGAGGACGAGTGATTGGAGATTGGAAAAAGGCAAACCCATTGGAGAATGGGTCTTTACTGTGGATGTTTAGGAGCGCTTTCTTTCTTTGGCAGGAAGACATCACCGAGATCTACACACTGGCAGATCTTGATCAGGACCGGATCCACAGTTCGGTGTTAAAATGATGCAATGGAATAGTGTCAGTGTGAAATACACTTTGGATACAAGCTGCTGGCACAAGCCGATCTCTGCAAATAAGTGTTCGCTTTCAGCTGTAAAGGGACGCTTGAAAGCAGAACCTACAGGATGGCCGCCTGAGTGAGGGCGAATTTATTTGTGCCCTTCACCTGGCTTTCCGTCGAAGCAAAGAGGCTGGGGGGGAGGAAGTCCGACACATTTGGTGAGGCATGCATGAGTTGACGATTGGATGCTTGTGGATCAAAGATGATCAAAGTAAACAGCCAGCCTTGAGAGCTTTCTTTCGCACCTCCGAACTTATGTAAAAAGCCACAATTCACTGTAACCGTTTTGTGCGTGTTTCCCAGTGTGTGCATGAATGTATAATTTCAGTACCCATCATGATCACAATGAATGAGTCCTGATCCAATCAAACCATTTGGCTCCACAGAGAACTTTCCTTGGGAACGAGATAGTTTTCCCACGTAGCAGTGCCAGGCAGCTTAGTTTCCTGAATTGCCTTGCCTAGCTTTGAGGCATGCAAAGAAAGATGACACTGAACAAAACAGAGTAAGGACCGATAAGACATGGATTCAACACGGACCATAAAGGTTACTGAGGTCGCTTATTGGTTGCTCAGGTTATATACTTCCTTGACACATTCGATCTCCGGACAATCAGTTTCATTCGATGATGGATGGACTGTTGCGCTTGAAGTGAGGTCCATGGCCAGCAAGGGCTTCCTTGCATGCAATCCCTTCCGAGAGGTTTGCTGTTCCAACAGCACAGCTGAACATAGCGATGCGCCTTGGAGGCAACAGATGCAAACACAACAGACACACTCACGTTGAGATTCTACAAGTTGGTACAAACTATTTCAAGATTCAAGATAGATTATCTTTTTTGTACGACTGATTTTCTTTGTTATATACACTATACTATACATGAGAGCAACTACATGGATGTTTATTTTGATTACGTAAACATTTCGATTTTAATAAATCTTTCACACAGTCGTTCAGGGCAAACATAAACATCATAGTTCATAAAACCAATTGAAAACAACAGATTGTCAATAGCATTTTCTTTTTCCATAAACACCGCAAACAACGAACTTCTTAATATATTCATAAATTATGAACATTTTATGAACACATAAACATATGGACAGATTTATGGTTCTTGTTCAAGGGCCAATTTCCTTTATGTTATTTTCTTAACGATTTCATAAATTTGGTGATATCGATTTCATTAACAAACACACATATATTGACATCACTAAAAAACAATGACTGTTTATTTTTTCCAGACTTGTCAGAGCTCAAGACTACCGGTCAGTTTTCATTGTGTGCATTGGAATCTAGGGTTTGAGGTTACAGTTTCCCCACTGCAATCAATTCGCAAAAATACATATTTGGACATCACCATAGTATAAATCGTTCTTTGAAGGTGCTTTTCTGTGTACTCACAGTTTTGCTCCCACACCCTGGACGCCTGGACATGGTCAATGATGGTTCATAGTCATTCGTGTTGTCCGCTTCTCAGGTCTATGATGGAGCTCAAAGTCAGACCCTCATATATGGGGAAGAAGATGTTGCTCCAGCACCTCAAGTCGCTGCCAAGGTTGAAGGCAGGGAGTTGTAGGCCGTGAGAAAGTAGCTAAGCTAAGAAACGAGTAAGCTAAGAAGTAGGAGGAGTAAGAAACTAAGAAACTCAAGGGAGTAAGAGGAGTAAGCTCTCACAGTAGCTTAGCTAAGCAGCTTAGTTAAGTAGCTTTCGCTACTACCACTGACAGGAAGCACTTTTTGCTCCCGGCTTCTTCAAGGGGTGGTGCTTCCATGAGGAACCGCAGATTCCTAAATTCACTGGTTCCTAGATTCCTAGATCTCGGGAAACTACACATTCGTCTGGCAGGACTGGGTGTGTTGGAGTGAGAATTCAGAGTACACACCAAGTAGCTGTTTTGTGAGAGAGTTGGACGGTCTGTGATACCGATACTGATACCCCACATAGCCATGGAGACATATTGGATTGTCAATCAATCTTCATCGCCCCGTGAGGCGGCACGAAGTTCGCTGACCTGGTAGAGAAACCAGAGATGGAAGTGGAAGGTGGAGCCAGATACAAAGGCCAATGGCGAGGTAACATGAGGCGAGATGGGAGTGAGTATTCTCGTCACATCTCATGGCACACAACCAACCATGGTCCTCTGGGGGGGCTCTGATGGTCCAAATTCCAATCCATGGTTGGACTTGGTTCCCTTTGGTTGGACTTAGGAGCTCAAATATTTGGAAGTTGGACATTTGTGATACTTTCCATCACTGCCCGATGTATTTTTCCCATAGCATTGATGGGATTCTTCGTTTTGGGTTTTGCCGAGGCATGGCCACGGAATCTTAACTCGAGCTGATGGCCACCGCCACTTGCACCAGATAGAACGATCGGCCTAGGCGGTCATGGCCACGTGTTGAGTTGAGAGGGGACTCTTGCGGGTTGTAGAAAAATCAGAGTCTTCAAGATTACAGTAATCTCGATTAATCTGGTATTCTTTTAAGCATCTACTTTAAACTTAATCAATGCCCTTCCATGACGAACCCAGAGACACTGTGGGCAGACCGATGCTGAGTAGCCAAGGCTACGAAGGGGCGTGGCTGGATAATCGAGCGCATGGCCATGGAACCTTTACGGAGTCTAGTGGCACTTCCTATGAAGGACCGACACTCAAAGAATGGTCCAAAGTGGGAGAAGTTCTTTTGTGCATGCATTTTTGAAACATTTTGAAGTTGATTCGGAATCTCATTCGGCATTCTGTTACCGCTGGCGCTGGAAATAACGGTTCTTTGATTTGGCATCATCCTCACCGAGCCCCTGAGGGCAGTGGCACCAAGACCAGAAGCATGGGTATGGAAAGCAACCTTGGCCGGCAAGTAAGAAGCTACTAGTAACAAGGGCATTACTACTAGTAGCTAGAATACTAGTAGCGATGTCTTTGTTACTAGTAGATAGCATCTTTGAGAGCTTGTTGTGTTGGAGTGTAATACTTTGGAGACCGCTAAAGTATTAAGACCTCAAGCAGCGGCATGTCGCAAAGGCTCTTTCCGGGAGAGGGAGAGTTTCTCCTGCCAAGTTGCGAGGTATGTTCATATTGACGGGACCACCTACGAGGGTGAGTGGCTTTGGCTAGCACATGAGACAAGTGGTTCAAGCCAACCTGCAGGCAGGAAATGCAAGAATCGTAGAAATGTTCAAACAGGCGACACACGTGGCTTTTCGCAGCCAGCTTTTCGAACCTTAGGTGGCACTCCGATGAGAAGAGTGGTCGAGGGATTGAGACCTGGTCGGACGGGGCACGCTATGAGGGCGAGTTCCTGCATGGGAGCAAGCATGGCGCCTGGGCAAGCAAAAATGCAGGGCAGTGCTTGGTTAGCGTTGGACAATTAGCCAACCAAATTTTGGAAGTAGAATGCAAAAGATATCCTTCCTTGCAACTGCCTTCCGAAAATGAGCCAGCATCCATGGCTGGTGGTGCCAGACCCCTTTAAAGATTGCTTATGACATCCTTGTGCCAGTCTCAAAATACTTGCAGGTGTTGGAATCTACAAGTCTGGCACTGGCGTGCAGTACGAAGGACAGTTCCACAACGATCAGATTCTTGGCAAGACAGATCAGCCATGGAACGCGAAAGCACTGGTTCGTGATGAACATTCGTCTGTTCCAGGTCCGACCATTTTGTTCAGATCTTTCTCTTTCCTGAAAATGTAAAGATGTAGAAGCTTTGAGAGAAGAAGCACAAAAAAACGCGGACGGACAGGAATCCAGGCGATGTCCGAAACAGACGCCTCAGGATGGACGGGGAAGGCACTTACCGCTTTGCCAATGGCCGGGTCTATGTTGGCCAATGGGCCATGGGTCACATGAGTGGCTACGGCAAAATGGAGATGCCAGACGGGTCCAAATACGAAGGAGGTTATGAGGCTTAGCTGCACTCCCTGTGTATAAAGAATAGGACATATTGACAGATCAGACTCGACTCAGCAGTGCTTTTCCCAGGAGAGGGACATGAAGCATGGTGAGGGCACCTTCACCTGGGCCGATGGCCGTGTCTATCAGGGCCAATGGAGAGCTGGTAAGCAGGATGGGGCTGGCTTCTTGGCTCAGATGGATAGGTCATGAATGAAATCAGGATGTCCAGAAGCTGGACTAGTTAAGGAACGGGAAAAGGCTGGCAACACACTGCAAGACTAGACTACCGGTGGTCGGAACGCTATTCTCCTGCCCGCCGACAGCCGATACATGTCGCAAGACTAATTCTTGAACGGGTAACCATGACAGTTAAACTCTAGAGGCTAGATGAGGCTAGAGGATGTTTTTTTCGGACGAGGTGAAGCGGACATTCTCTTCATCCGTCCCAGGTGTCCTGATCGACACCAACGGTCGGCAGACAAAGGGCTACTGGCGAATGGGTGAGCGGCTTCGATCACCTGAGGGCTGAGGTGGGCAGTGGACATTGGCTTTGCGGCCGCACGCGATCGTGGTGACCTTCGACCTGAACACGCATGCCTAGTGAGTACTCATGCCTGGTATTGGCCGTGAACGGGCTCCCCATGTATCAAGTTCTTTGATTTTTTTTGGGCCTCTCCGGTTTTAGAGGACTTCCAACACACGAGACTAGATCTTAATGAGGCAACTTCAGGTCGACTGTCGACTTGAACCTGTTTCAAGTCTACCTTGTCTACGTATCAAGGTAAAGGATACATGCAAAGTGTATAGCGTGTGCAACATCCGCAACATTTATTTTGTTCCCCGTGTCTCGGTATATTCTCTTACTAGGAGTAAGGACGCTACTAGTAGCTCCTGGCCATACTACTAGTCACAAGAGTACGCTACGAACGGGGCTCCTGGCATCGCTACGAACGGAGCGATCGGACGCTACGAACGTCTCTCGCCTCTCTGGCCAGGCCGCCCTGCGATGCTTCCGTTTCACTCTTTCAGACCTCCAAAACGGCCGGATCCGCCGGTGGCTGCCAGTCGTTGGGCCGGTTTGTCCGGCGTGGCACGTCCAAAAGAAGTCACAAACACCCAAAAAGAACGGCTGAGATGCTGCTGAACTACAGCAGATTGACTGGCAGCAGAATTAGTAGCAGAACGGCCAAAGGCGAATTTCGCCGGGAGCAATTCATGGACCTGCGAGGGAACTGGGACTGGCGCACAGCCCCTGTCGCTGTGCAACACAGAAGACTTTTAGCCCCAACATATCTCAATCTGAAAAAGCATTTCTTCGACGTTCTGGAGATTCTCGTCAGACCCAGGTAGCGAGGACTCTGCTTGGGAAGTTGCGATTGAACCGCAGTCCCTTGTAGAGCCTAGGTGTCACCTTCTGCATGGTTTGGCTCGTGCGATTTGCCCATAGATATTTTTGAACCTAACCTAAGGCATGAAGTCGGGAGAGAGTCAAACTCAAATCTACAGAGTGTGTGCAAACTCCAGTTGGTCAGGCTCATCAAACAGTTGCGCAAGACAACTGCCAGACAGTCGAAAAAGTGCTACAGAACTGGTTCCAAGACTTTTGCAGACACTGCAGATGTGTACGGGTGCCTTTCTGGATGTCTTTGGACTTGGGACACTTGTAGGCACTCATTGGTCTTGGTTGTCAACTCAAAAGCCGGGACGGCAATGCTCCTTCCAACCACCTGAGCCTGGAATCAGGGATTGATGCCATCCGAGCTTCCCGCACCTTTGCTGGCCCACGACCTCAGTGCTGTCAAAAGGCCATCAGGGCAGGACATTGCTACCATTACCCGGTCACTAACTAAACCTGTGAGATTTGTGAGATTACTTCTTCCATTTCTGTCCAAGACTACTCATGGGTATGAACAGATATATATATATATAATATGTTATATATATATATACTATGTGTTTTTTCCTATATATTTTTTTGCTGGGTCCACATCGCGAGTTCCATGGGGACTTGCGTTTCAGTGGACGATCACCTCGCCACTGGGCCACTGGTTGCCGAGGCACTTGCACAGCGATCGACGGATTGGTCCGTGAAAGCGGAGGTCGGCGAGCTCCTCTTCACCAAAGAATGCAACCAAGCGGGTTCACTGCCCCAATGCAACACATTCCGCTTCACTGGCGGATAGTGACCAAAAAATCAACAACTGATAAAAACTGTACACTGTAAACTGTGGTTTACAGCCCTGGTGGCTCTTCGAAAGCTGCCTCAGGAGCTGGGACACTACCTTCAAAGTTTCCAACGGCTTGATGCCCAAAGTAAAGGCGCCACTTCACTGAGAGGAGACTAGGACATTCGAGGCATTTTGAGCAATTGCTTGCTTTTGAAAGTAGAGTCCTTGCAGAATGCCAACTGTATCTTGCTTGCACTCAGACCCAAACTTACCCTTGCCCTCTTGCAGGCATTTGAAGCACCAGTTGGAAGGGTTTCTTCGCTGAAGGGTTCCTTTCTTTTGCAACACTCTTCAAACAATATGATGTGATGCCGCAGGCATTGTGGGACAAGAAGAGGGGTTCCGATGTCCCAGATTCACCGAGAGCAGCGGAAAAACACATTGCCGGAAGAATGCGGGAAAAGAGGACATGGCATGATGTGGCAAGGCTCATTGGGACAGTGTAGGTCCAATGTAGGCCTGGTTTTGATGAGTTAGATTCGTTTTGGTCTTGTCTCGAAGGCCTTCAATGGGAATCATAGGCAATGAACACATGGCTGGCCAATTGCAACTATTGCGTATTACTGACTTGGTTTTTGAAGTCAGTCACAAGACGAGGCGGGAGATCTTCGAACAGAGCGGACTACCAGTGCAAGAGCTTTCGTTCATTTGGCAGGCACTTTTCTTTCTCGAGAAGACCCAAAGCCACCGAAGCCTTGAACAAACGCAAGCGCAGCGTCGGATGGATGAATACCAGCGATGTGTTCAATCCGAGGGCACAAGTGCCACGTCATTAGACTCAGACTGATGTGATTTCCTCTCCTGTGCCAGCTTTGCGATCGAGACGGCGATGGGAACTTGGTCTTTCCAGAGTTTGCTATGGCAATGGCCATGGTGGCAAGGCCTGCTTTCTCCTTTGGTGACTTTTGGCAATTTTAAATTCTTGTGAAGTTTGACGCCGCTCAAGCTGAGCCTCCAAGTTCCTAGCATGCCCAGTTCCTCCACAAGAGAATGTAACATATTTTCAGCTTCACTCGTAGCGTCCTTGTTCCTAGTAGTAAGGCCAGGAGTCCCTAGTAACGTCCCTGCTCCTAGTAGCGATGCCCTTTGCTCCTAGTAGCGTCCTTGCTCCAAACGTGACTTGATCCCCTAACGTGACATCTTCGCTGTGAGGCGTCGCCGGGGCTGGTCCTTGCCTTCTACACTGCCGCTCGCCTTGGTGAGGCGTGAGGGGTTTTGGGGGTCAAACAGGGTCTCCAGTTTTTGAGACCCACATGACGAAGTTCTAGACTCAACACCTCCAATGGAAGAACCTTCTGGAAGACCTTCCGCAGAGCCGCCGCTACAAATTCTTTCCGCGCAATGCATGTCTTAATTACAGCAGTAAGGTCTCTGGACTGGAATGTTGAATTGCCATTTGACCCCCCCAAATCTATTCCCATTTACAATGTGCCAGATCCCCTCCAGCCAGGTCTGTAGATTCCTTCGGCCCGGTGAACTGGACTGTGGCTCCGGGCGAGTCTGGGCCTCACAGCTCAGCGATGCTTCGCGGCTCCAGATGCTTCGCGGTGCGAGCTCCTCACGCAAGAGACGAGAGTCCAAACAACATGCTCCCGTTCTCCAACAAATCCTCTCGTTGCAAAACGAGAGTCCCAAAAAAACCGCCTCCAATTGTGTCCACATGTTCTACCCTGGCAAAGGCCATGAATAGGTTCGACCAGCAAGACAAAGACACGACCACAGGTGTGAGCTATCGGCCCCTCCAAAACACCAAGGCAACGCTTTCACCAGCTTCTTTTACTTAAAGACCTCCAAAAGAAAAGATCGGCCATTGACACGAAGCTACTAGTAGCAAAGGGCATTTCTACTAAGAGCAAGAACGCTACTAGGGGCGCTCTTCTGGCCACTAGTAGAAACAAGAGGACGCTACGAACGGCATCGCTCCGATCCCACGAGCGGCAAGCGGCTCCGAGGCTCGATGGCTACCGGACGATCTGGAGGTCCCTGGAGCGGAGCGGCTTCGCGGACCCAGCGGCCGCCAAGGAGCGACAAAAGCCCGTTCGGAACGGGAATGACACATGCATAAAACAGGAACTAAGACTAGAGGGGGTTCCATTTTTCCCTTTTCATAGTTTTTGATGATTTTTTGGCCTGCATGAGAGGTTTAATTACAGTGTCGAGTCAGTCGTGTGTTTTTGCTTTTTGCGAAGGGGATTCACAACTGGGGCTGATTTTACATGTAGTTATCATATATATATATAGCATCATTCATATATATATATATATTCCGAATACTCCTGACTTTCGACACTTGGATACTTTTCGGTGCAGGACAAACAGGTTTTGTGCATTTGATGCAGGATTTGCTCGAGCAATCCCAGTTGCCTGTATCAGACCTGTCCACGATCTATGCCATGTCTGATTTTGTACCTTGTCTATACAAGCAGCTCATTCATTCTTATCTTTTTTTTTTCTCTCTCTCTCTCAATCTTGGGTTCGCGCAGACCAAGAGAGGTAGATAGAGAGAGAGAGAGAGACCCACACACACACACATTTATATGGTCCCTGTTGGCATCTACTGTAGTGTGATGTAATGTGGCATTCACTGTAATAAGCCAGTTGTTTGGCGGACAACAGCAGGTTGCACTGAGCATGCTGGGTTTCAAACTGAATACTGTAGCTCTGAGGATCATGATGGTCGGCTGTCTGAGCCGGAGTTCCTTTGCGCCATGGCAGGGGTCGTTGCTTTCGGTGCTGTCAGCTTTCAGTGAAGGTTGCCATTTCACCCTACCTTCAATATCTTCAAGCAACGTTTTTTGAATCCTGGGCAGGTCCAGCAGTTAGGTGTCAGTAGAAGAAACGTTTGGACGCTCTTTGCACATGGCTCAACATGGCTCAACATGGCTCAATGCACATTCTTCATGCCTTTTGACTGCTATCAGCCATTGGACAAGGAGCAAGGACGCTACTAGGGGCTCCTGGCCGTACTACTACGAGCAAGGACGCTACTAGGGGCTCGTGGCATCGCTAACTAGGAGCATTCTTACTACGAACGGAACAAGAGGACGCAAGAAGGCAGACGCTCACTCATTCGTTCCTGTCCGCTCACTCGGTGGCCAGGCCTTGGTCGCTCGCCGCCGCCAGGGCGCTGCTCTGCCGGAGTCAGTGCCGCAGGGTGCCCTTTTTGGGGACGGATGGAAATCAGTCTCATGTTCACATGAAACAAAGTCTTCACAGTCTTCTTGAAGAAGACTTCTGTTCACTAAACGTGTTTGATCACAATGATCTTCTCACAGTGTTTAAACACTCTTTCTTGCTCAAG